AAAATAATCATTTTATATAGTTGATTATTATTTGCTATTATCAATTATTATTATATATATTTAATATTGGTCTGAATTTTACAAAATAAAATTTATATATATTACAAATTATATATGTTTGATGTGAGTGTGAGTGTTGTGGGTGGGTGTGTCAGAGAGAGAGAGATGGAGAGAGTGAGTGTGAGTGTCTGTGAGAAACAAGAATGAGTGCTGGTTTTGAATTTTTTGTTGAATTTTTATATTTTGCTTAAAAGTGGTTATTATCCACGGGTCAACAGTAAAACTGTGGTTTGCAACCACGTTTTCTGAAGATAAAAAGAATTACTTAACAAAAGCATAGTTATGTATAAATCAAATTTCCTTAATCAGATTTACTTTAAAAAAATTATTACTTAAAAATTTATGCATAAATAAAATTTCCTTAAAAGTGTGATTTGTAACCACGTTTTGTTAATTAAAAGCGTGGATTGTACCATGCTTTTAAGATTTTACAAATTGTCTGCGAGAGGGTCACAAAAACGGTGAAAGCGTGGTTTGTATCCGCGTTTTAGCTTAGTTTAGGAATTTTGTCCATACTAAGCCTACTTTAGGAAATAAATTACTATTTTGCCTTAATTTGGGGAAAAACCCCTAATTTGGGCAATGATTTAATCGTACGCATGTAAATGGTAACAATTTAAAAAACACTTATTTTGAGGATATTTTGATAAATCTTGATCTATTTTTTTAGTATTTTGATAAACTAGACAGATATATCAATAATTTTGAATGTGAAAACATTATGAAGATTCTTCTTTTATTTTTCTGTTCATATAATTTTATAGTATAATTTGTATCAAGTATTGTATTTATTCAGTGCGATTGGACAAAATTGGACAAGTCATACAAAAATCTTAAATCATAGTGTAACTTTTTCTATGAAATTATTATTTTTTTCATTGAGTTGAAATAACTCGACTGATTTTGTATGACTTGTTCTTAATTTTTATTTCAAACATTGTTCACGTAATTTTTTAAAACTGGTGGTCTAATTAGTGAGATTTAAGGACAATTAAAGAGAAGTTACTTTTATTTGCTAAAGCTTCTGCCATTAGGGACTTTAATGACAAAGTTATTTGGTAGGTTATTTCCTATGAGATTATTTCCTTAGGGAAATAACCTCATACGAAATAATGTAGGAAATAACTTAGGAAAATAACGTAAGAAATAACCTAAATAAAAAATTAATGAGCTCTCATAATTTTAAGCAATATAAATAACATAACAAAAAAATTATCGACCTGAACCAAGCCAAACTTGAGTTTCATTAATATTAATGAGCTCTCATTATGTGTTAAAAATTAGGTAGGCTCCTTTCAGGTCTCAAGTTGAACTCTCAGTATGTGTCATGTTTATAGGTATTAATTGAGATTTGTCGGATCTACGTGGAAGGGACGTTTATTGTAGTAAGAACTACTCTGATGAATAGAAATGATTGGTTTCTTTTATATCAATGTATATCTAAAGTGATGGGTTTTATGTATTATTTTTTTGAGGGCGTTATAGAATAAGTCAATTGGATAATTCAAGTGGGTAAAAATTATCGAGAATGAGTCATTTTATAAATCAAATATTTTAATTTTTTCAAACAAAATTTTTAAACAATTTTTTTTATTTATATCAAATGTTTTGATAATAGCATTTTCCAGGACGACTTCAAATGCCTCTTTTGGCAAAGAGGTAAAAAGTCATTTTTTGACTTCTAATTTTTTGTGGATCACCTTTAATGTTTATATCAAATTTTTTTTGGATCAATTTTTTTGACCTTTAATGTTTATATCAAATTTTTTGTAAAAAGTCATTTATTTATATCAAATTTTCTGACTTCTAATGTTTTGGTAATTTTTTGGCAAAGTGGTAAAAAGGCATTTTCAGTATTTTTTTTACACGTTTTTCCAAATTTTTTTTTTTAAAAAATACAACAAATTAGCTTTTAACTTATTTCCTAAAACAACCCAAAAAATTGTTTGTACTAGTTATAGTGGCCTAATGATGAAGCTGAAAAGATAAGCGAAAGAATAACAAGATTTAACCATATCGATAGGACTAAGAAGCAATCAAAAATTAATTTTTCAATTCAAAAAATATAGATAGGATTCACAATTCAAAATTCAAAAACCTAATTTGTAAAAAAATAGATAGGATTCACAGTTCACAATGCAATAAATATATACAGGATTCACAATTCAAAGCCCAAATTCCTGAAACCATAACCCTAATTTCTGATTTCACAATTGAAAACCCTATAAAATATATTTGTAATTCACAATCAGAAGAACGTCGTCGACGACCATCTTGGGTTTCACTCAGACTATTCGCGGTGAAGGACACGGCCATCCTCTCACAACTGAAAATTTTCTCCCCCTTTCCCTTAAATTTTCTCCTCATTTTCTTTTGGCTGAACTTGCTTTTCTTTTATGCCAAACATCCCCTTATACTTTCCATAATACAGAAAGAAAAAATGATATAATGATCAGTTGGATCAATGGACTCGGGATAATTAGTACTAGACTAACCATGACAACTTTAAACATAATTCCTTGTAATTCAATTTTGTATGACACTAATATATATTATATGATTCTATTTTTATTTATTTTTTAATATATCGTAAATATTGTTAGGCTGTGCTTAATTTATTGGAATGAAAATAAAAGGGAATGACATGATTATTCCTTAAATATGTTTTGATTAAAAAGAAAAATTTGTGGAAAGTGAAAGTGAAAGAAAAAAAAATAATAATTTGAAAATTTTGAAAGAAAGAGATAGAAAATTTTGAAATTTTAATTATAGATAATTTTTATATAGACAAAATTAGATTTTCTTGTGTTTTGCCATGTTTTTTTTCCAAGAAATTATAAAGTTAGTTACGATAATAATATACAAGAAAATTATTATTATAGATAATTATTTGTTTCTAAAAATTATTTGTTCCTAAAAAAAATCATATAACATTATTAAAAAAATTTAACTTATCATAAATTTCTTAAACCTTAATTTCTGAAACCATAACCCTCATTTCTAATTTCACAATTTAAAACCCTAACCCTAATTGAAAAATGATTTCACATTCATCAATTCAAAACCCTAATTCAAAACCAAAATCCTTATTTCTGATTTCACATTCAATAGAAAACCATAACCCTCATTTTCTCATTTCAAACATAATATTTAAATTTTTATAAACAGATTCAACATTCAACAGATTTTACATTCAACAGATGTCACATTGAATAGAAATCTATTTCACATTCAATAGAAATCTAATTTCACATTCAACATATTTCACAATTATAAACAGATTTCACAAATTTTTAAATAGATTTCACAATTCAAAACCCTAATTTCTCAAACCGAAATCGTAATTTTTGATTTCACAATTATAAACCCTAACCTTAATTTATTATTTCTGATTTCACAACATTTTCACATTCATGAACCCTATTCTACCAACATTATACCCACATTCATGAACCCTATTCTACCAACATTATACCTACATTCACATTTTCACAAACACAAAAAACGCATTAAAGTAGATCAACAGAGAGAGACAGAAGCCATACCAACGAGAAAGAGCACAGAGAGCAACAGTACTGAAGCAGATGGAGCTTGAGCATAGCGACAGAGAGAGAGCAGTAAGAGCGAGAGAGAGTAGTAAGAGCGAGAGAGAGAGAGCAGGGAGCAAGAGAGAGAGCAGGCAGCGAGAGTGAATGTAACAAGCGTGATTGCAAAACACGGGGCTAGGGAGATTTTATATAAGTTTTAAAAACGTGGTTATAAACCACGCTTTCACTTAAAGAAAAAAATCCTATAAAAAAGCGTGGTTCACAAACACGCTTTCAGAAGAAATTTTTTTTTGCCAAAAAGCGTGGTTCATAACCACGTTTTCAGAAGAAAAAAAATTTAAGCTAAAAGTGTGGTTCGTAACCACGATTTCATAAGAAATTTTTTTTGGTTAAATGTGTGGTTCACTACTGTGCTTTCAGAACAAAAAAAATGTAAGTTAAAAGCGTGGTTCAGAAAAGCAATTTGAGAAGAAAAAAAATTTAATTAAAAGCGCCTTTTGTAACTGCGTTTTCTTAATTAAAATCGCGTTTTGTAACCACGCTTTTAAGACTTCCCAATTCTCACGCGGGACAGATGCACAGATGTGAAAGCGTGGTTTTGAACCACGTTTTAGCCTATTTTGAGAAATCTTTCAAAACTATGCCTAGTTTGGGAATTGAATTGATAATTTGGCTTATTTAGGGAAACGGCCCCATTTGGTGGTCATGGCTGAAAAATTACAACAATGATTGGTGACCCGAAAAATTATAGCTCGAATGGCTCGAAACATCCAAAACGACGTCGTTAAAACGACGTCGTTTTGACACATTCAAGCCACAAAAATTCGGAATACCTAACATTTTCCGAAAGATTATCGCCAGTGATTGATGGTTTAAACATCACCGACGATGGTAGAGATTTTCAAAAGTTAAGGGATAATGAAAGTATACTAAAATAGTTTTGTTTAGTGTTCTTTAAATTAATTAATATATTTTAATTGTACTTAGGGGTTGTTTGGGATGACCTAAATAAGTGCACTTTTTGTCTTTTTACAAAAAGATGGGTAGAAAAGTAGAGAGATAATGTGATGGAAAAAAGATAAAAAGATAAAAAGATGGATTATTTTAGAGTTGCCAAACTTGACCTTAAATTAAAACAAAACTTTTTCTATACAGTTGAATAAAAAAAATCCAAATCTATAGGATTTAATGTATTTTTTAAAATCATATACAATGGTATAATGAGGGGATTTACTGTAGATATTCTTTTCAAAAAAATGATAATTTTAATAATTTCGTCACTAAATTAATATTTTTATTTTGTATATTGTCTCCAATAATAATAAAGTGTTAATGTAATTTTATCTTTCATATTTATTGATGATGAGATGAGATGAGATGAGATGAGATGATGACTAAACAGGAGCATTTTGTACGGAAGAGTCTTTAACCCTTGTGAAGGTGAAAAATCCCCATTCGGAGCCAGAGACGGTGGCTCGGGAATATACAGTTTTCTCGACTTTGCCTTATTCAACCCCATTATTTGTCTTTGTATTTTCTTTCTTACACCTTCAATCCCTACTCTTATCATACTCATCATCGTCTTCGTTTTCGTTTGATCCTTTTCTCTTTTTGTAATTTCAATTTGATCATTTTTCTCTCTTATATATATATATATATATATATATATTTGTATTCAATTTTGCGATTGAATTGTCTGCACCGTTTCTTTCTTCTGCGGAAGAAGAAGAAGAAGAAAAAATGGGGAAATCGTCAAGGTGATACAAATGAAGGGTTAGTTTTGATTGTGATGGATCTAATTCCAATGATTTTATTGTTGTTCTTGTTGTTGTGACTGCTTTAGGATTTGGTGAATGAGGATGGGGTTGGAATCTTCTGGTCAATTCCTTGATTTTCCTACAAGACTATTGCTTCGCTGAATCTGCGGATTTGAGCTTTGAATCTCATATATATACATATATATATATATATATATAATTATTATTATTTCTATTTATACCCATATATATATTGGAGAGAGGCTTGAGGGGTCATGGATGAGGTGGTTACTAGTGAGGAAAGCAAACCTCAGCCCTCAGGGCTGTCAGCGGATGAGAGTTTATCACCATCATCATCATCGTCGTCACGACGGCCTCCTAGCCAGTTTCTATTTTGTGCTTATTCTCCCGCAATTGATACTAATGAGAAGCCCCAAACTTTGCGTGTCGTTGTTCAAAGGCCTGTAAGTGTTTTGCTTCTCATTTGCTTCATTCGATTGTTTTTAGATTTTACAATTCACATTTTTTTGTCTTGCTTGTTCAAGTTTTCCAGTATGCTGTTGTTGCTTTTGTTTTCTGAAATTGGGATTAACAATGATGAAACTGAGCCTTTATAATCCAAGCACCAACTTAATTGGAAAAGAGGCATTGTGGAGAGACGGTGTCCACTAGGAATACGAATAAAAAGGAAAGCCAATAATCCACAAACAACTGAATAGCAAATAAAAAAAATTGTAGGCAATGCTAAATTGCTAATTACTTCTATGATTTACATTGCTTTTATAGACTTTTTTCCCTGTGGGCGAAGCAGTGATCTTTTATAACAGCATATCTTACTACTATGACTTGCCTATTTTAATTATAGCTTATCTTGCTGTGTTTCCCCTGTTTCTGTTTCTGTTTCTGTTTAAAGGAAGAGATGATCTGTTTATACGGATTATTTGTGGAGCTTTTAGGTAAGTTGAGTTCATAGGCCTTGGGTTTGGATAGCTGTTTTCCCATTTGCTGTTAGGCATACATCATCTGTATCCCCCACTCCTTTCCCGCTCATGCCTTTGTTAATGATTTATTTTGTTTATGTGGAAAAAGAAAGAATTTCACCTTACACTCAGCTTTTGGATTTTATTGTCAGATTATCAAGCGAGCATATCTAAATTAGAAGCAGCTTTTTCTTTGTTGTTTTAACTTCTTGTGTTGCACCTCATATAAGCAGTTAATTGTTCTCTGGAATTAAATTATTGGAAATGTAACTTTTTGATGATGTACATCTTTATCTTCTGCAGGTGGTAGCAAGATTAACAAAGGACATAGTCGAAACATACAAATTGTGCAACCCACAATTCCACTATTCGGAAGAATTGAATCCAAAGCGATTCCTGACGAGCCCATCGATTGGAGTGCTCAATGACGGCTATGATAACTCAAACTCAGACCTTATACTGAATGTGAATTTTGTCTTGGTTAATTTAGAAACACAGCGAAGGTGTGATATTGTTACTTAATAACCATCTATATTCTTAGCAAATATGTTCATTCTTTCTATTGCTAAAATTGTCATGTTTTTGTTGTACTATGTTGCATTGTAAAGAGCATGTTTTGAAGACTCTGTGCGGGATGTCCAAATTTCTGTTGGTTTATCAGGAGGACTTATCTACTTCCAAACTTACTGAGCTTATTTTTTTATGTATTACATTTCTTAACTTGGAGATCCTTCACTATGTACTGAGGATAAATCAACCTGGGAGTATTTATTGTTTTTTTAATGTGTTAACCATTGTCCTGTTAAGTTACGGGAAGATCTTAATCGAACCTTTTTATCATTTGAAGTGCATGCCGATGGATCTTATGTAGTTCCCTAGTAAGGGCACACTGGTTTGGCGATGGCATTTTGGTTGACTGTCTTTTCCCCCTCCTTTTGTTGGTTTAGTTGTGGTAGTTCTTATTTGAACCGGAAGAGCTAATTTTTTATGGCTTTCTGTTCTTAGCCTTGTTGAGATCCAGAGTGTGTTTTCTTATATTTCATGATAAGCAGGAGAGAATTTCTCCAGTCTTCACAGTTCACTCTTAGTTGCAACTAGTCTCCCTTGGAAGAGATTTTAGATTTATGTAGAGGAGGGTCGGTGATTATTTGATTTAGGAATCTAGATGAATAAATAGGAAAGCATGAAGCTTGGATATATTTGTATCATGTTATTGTGAGATGGATTGGGATGATTGGCTCTCTAATCCTGCTTGATGTTTTTTGCTTGTTTTGAGAGTTAGTGCGAGTGGTGACTTGAAAAGTTCCATTAAAACTGTTTCTGCAGTTGAGTTTTTCCAATCAATGTCACTTTCACATTTCAGGATGCTAATATTTGCATCATGCGGACTGCACTTGGCCATATATACTGACGATTGTTGCTGATCTAGAGATTCATGAAATGGTTTATAAATGCATGTTTTGGCACATTAATGAGCTCTTTGTAAATCATTTTATTAAGATATTTTCCTGCACTTTTATGCTTCTCCAGTTTGTCTGCATAAAAAGGATTTGATGTCATGCTTAAATACAAATATCAGATATAATTAGTTGCGAAATGAAGTAGACTTTGGTGTGGAATTAAGAAAGTACACAGGTTTTCTTGATGTCATAATTATGGTTCTAAAATTTTCAATTAATTCTTTACAAGTTGTGTGTTCTTTCTCTACTTTAGTAATCTCTAAATTGAATAATTAGTTTCATGGCTTTTGTGTTGCAGATACATTGTCAAAGACATTCTTGGCCATGGGACATTTGGGCAGGTTGCTAAATGCTGGGTCGCTGAAACAAAAAGTTTTGTTGCTGTAAAAATCATTAAAAATCAACCTGCATACTATCAACAGGCACTGGTTGAAGTTTCTATTCTAACAACGGTAATTAATTCTTATTCAGCTGGGTTCTATCATATATAATGATTATGAATATTTTTTGTTCATGCTTATTTTCTGTTTGCAGTTAAATAGGAAGTTTGATCCAGAGGATAAGCATCACATTGTTCGTATTTATGATTACTTCGTGCATCAGCGTCATTTATGCATAGCTTTTGAGTTGCTTGATACCAATCTGTATGTATGGAACAACAATATCTAATATATTAGTGCCTTACTTTATGGATGAATATTGTTTGAATTTTGTTCGTCATCACCAGTGGTGGTGTAAATTTGATTTCCGCTGCATGAAGCTGACATTTTTGAGCAATTTAGGTATGAGCTTATCAAGATAAACCATTTTAGGGGATTATCGTTGAGCATTGTGCAGTTGTTCTCCAAACAGGTACAACCCTTGTTGGCTTGGGATACATACTGATCTTATAAAGCATTTCCTAAAAGCGGTCGTGTTGCTTACATGGTAATGTTTTATCCTGCCATTTTTTTGCTCTTCAAATTAGATTTTGGACGGTTTGTCTCTGATGAAAGATGCTGGCATAATTCATTGTGATTTGAAACCAGAAAACATTCTTTTATGCACGAGGTGAGCTATTGTGATAATGATTTGGACTGTGAATTGGGTTTAACATCTGTTTCCTGTCATATTAATAGTGTTGTGCGTGAAATTAACAGTGTGAAACCAGCAGAAATCAAAATTATTGATTTTGGATCAGCATGTATGGAAGATCGGACAGTTTACTCTTATATTCAGGTCCTTGTTTTATATATATATATATATATATATATTTTGGGTTTAATTTTACTTTGCTTTCTAAGCTGACAATATTCTTGCATCTGAATCCCCTTGTGCTTCTTCCACAGAGCCGTTATTATAGGTCACCTGAAGTGCTACTTGGCTATCAGTATCCTTGCAATCTGTTGCTTTTTCTTGGTTCCCATAGTTGTGTTGGAGAGCTTAATATATATTGTTGGCCTATTTCCCAATAGCATAACCTTTGGGTGCTAGTGGTAATTTAGGGTAATTCTATTTACGCACCACCAATCCTTTTAGTGCACACCATCCCTATGAATTTTTAATTGCATCCTTATCCATTCAACAAATTACATTTTTATCCCTTAAACAAATCATTCCATTTCTCAATACCAGCCACCCCACCATCCCTAACTCCAGCCACCACCACCAGCTGCCTTTGATTCCCATTCTCGTTGCTTGTTGCTTGTTGCCCGTTGCTGCCGCCACATCCTCCTCCTATTTGCACACCATCGCAACCACTACATCTAGTGACCACCTCCATCGCAACCCCCACCACCACTCGCCCTTGCGACCACCCTTATCGTGGTACACCACCATCACGATGCTCTATAGAGAGAGAGAGAGAGCCCCGCAACAAGAGAGAGAGAGAGAGAGAGAGAGAGAGGGGATGGGGTGGGGTGGCGGAGGGTGAGGGAGGGAGAATTGCAGAGGGGCTGGAGGGGGATGGCAGTGGCGGCAATAGGGTGGTGAAGTAAGGGTTATGGTTTGGTATTTGAGAAGATAAGGGTATTTTGGTATTATTTAAATATGAATGGTGTGAATTGAGAAAAAAAATAAAAAATTGAAATTAAGTAAGGTATGTGTTGAGATATTATGTGGTGTGTAAATAGAATTACCTGGTGATTTAATATGATATTAGAGTTCAAGTTTGGCTCAAGTCTCATTCTTTGCATTTGGCTTCCCATTTGCATTCTATTTCTAATATACATGTTTGGGTGTTTACATCACCATGTGCAAGATGGAGTTGCACGTGAGGGAGGGTGTTAGACAACTTGATATACATTGTTGGGCTCCCTTCCTAACAACTTAAGCTTTTGGGATTAGTGGTAATCTAACAAGTTCAACCCAACTAGTGGCAATGCTCGAATTTCGTGGCTTATGGTTGGTTGTGGTTGAAAATTTTAATCTAAACTAGCTTGGGGGATTGTAAGAATAGGGGAAAAGCTAAGTGAAAAGAAGACCGAAATTGTATTTTATCAAAAAAAAAAAAAAAAAAAAAAGAAGACAAAAATCTAGGTTAGGTAGTAAACTAAATTGGGCCTATTGGAGGGAGCACACTCCAAGACCCATGGCCCCTATCACCAGTCCAACCCCTTGGGGTTAAGTACTTTTAAGATCTTTTTATTAAAAGTATGATATCTTACATTATAATGTGCTTTATGTATGTTTAAGCAATAAATATATGATTAATATATATATATATAATATCTTTTATTGAAAGTATTCTTCTCAGTGTATGAATTGTGCCTGGTTTGCATGAATGACCTGCTCACACATCTTGATAAAATATATATAATATTTTCTTTCTAGAGTGTATGACTTAAGAGCAAGAGAGACATATGGCAGTCATGGCGGAGCCACATGGACTGGGCTGATGGGGGCACTTTGATTGTGAGATTAGTTTCCACCATTCATTATGGACAGTAGTTTTAAGCATGGTCATTGTGAAGTTGAGTTTGGGAGACAAATTATGATCCCAGTTTTCATACTCAAAATCTGATCTGGTGACATGGAGTTACATTGTAGACCTTAACCCTTCTTCCAGGTATACTACTGCTATTGATATGTGGTCTTTTGGGTGCATAGTTGCTGAACTATTTTTGGGGCTGCCACTATTCCCCGGAGCATCAGAATTTGATCTTCTAGGGAGGATGATCAAAATACTTGGGTATGCATCTGTATTTGTTTTGGTATCTGAGCTCTTACCATAAACTCTTACTCCCTCTGTTTCACAATGTTAGTCCTTTTTGAGAGATCCAACTTTTTTTAAGGGGACATGCAACCAATGCAGTCAAATTCAATATTCAAATAAAAAGCATTGATTTCCAGCATTGCCCTTTTATTCCTAATTTTTAATACGTTCCTAACCATTTGTAAAGGACAGTTTTGGAAAATTAAAAAAAAAAAAAAAATCTGACTTTTCGAAGAGGATATTTGGGACATTCTAAATTGGAATCCAGGACTAACCATGGGACATAGGGAGTATTTTTCTGATGCATGAATATGCTGCCTGTAATATGTTGACAACTTAATCCCACATGCCTTGGATTAACTGCTATACCTATTGTTTCTTTCTTCAAAGTTCTTTTTCGAAAAGTGACATGATCTATCATGAACATATGAAATAAAAGATGAATGATTTGTTATTAAATGAGAACATTGAGCTAGTGGCTGTCATTTTTACTCTGTGAATATGGATGATCATGTGCCCCTCCATGAGTAATTTTTCGTAGTAAGGTTTAGGGAGCATTCCAAATCATGGTACTAATTAAAAAAATGTAATTTAAATGTATCAGAATTCATAAAAATTGAGATCTTAGAGCATCTCCAATGTTGAATAAAAAATTTCATCAAATTTGAGTAAAAATTTGATGAAAAGTTTGATTTGATACCCTGTTCACTCTAATACTAAAACTAGAATTTTCATCAGATTTTTTCACATCCCCCGTTATCTGGGAGGACGTCCAGGCGGATGTCTTGGAGGTCGTCCAGGCGGATGTCCTGGAAGTCGTCCAGACATGAACAAAAAAGCTTGTCAAAGTTGCTCTTGGGTGGACATCCGGGAGGATGTTCGGCCCAACGGTAACAATTTAAATTTGATGAAAGTCTCCCTTCATTTGATGAAAGTTTTGGTTCATCTCTCATTTGATATGAGTTTGATGAGAGGGTTGGAGGTTACACAGTTGCCATTTTTCATCAAATTTAAATTTGATGAATATTAGATGCAACATTGGAGATGGTCTTTATAAGAAACTTTGGTGGTGTGCAATAAATTTACATTTTTGTTTAATTTTCGTGTTGGGTGTGTTTGTGTGTGTGATAACTTGGCCTAGTGATAACTTGGAGACTAGAAAGGAGAAGTTGTTCAGAGACTGGTGACAAGTGTAATGCTACTGATCTCAGGCAGCACAGTCAACAATTGTCAGAACAATATATTGAAATTCTTGCCCACAAATTCTAATATGAAGATCATGAATCCTTCATATGCCATTTAAACGATCCGAATTCTTTCTGGTTAAAGAATCTCTTTCTAGTTGCTCTGGAAAAATTAGGAAATTCTCTGAACTTTTGCCTCTTAAAGAATTATTAACAATAGAATTGATGGTAAATTGTTCGTAAAATTTGACTTCCCAAATATTATTGAAAATTACAACTCACAAATACACTTCCAGTACCAGCAACGCTAGGAAATAAGATTTGAGTTGTTTCTCTAACAGTACCCTCCAATAGGCTGAAATACCATTTGAGGGAATGTTAATTGCTTAAAATCTTAGATTGACATGGATTAATGCTTCCTAGGATGCTGCACTAACATGGAAGATCTATTAGATCTAACTGAATATGCATGATCGGTTATTGACAAATAAGCAGCCTTTGAAAGCAGAGCCAGGCGCATAGAGAGAGGAAAACCAAGTAAAGAAATCAAATTGATATAATAAATAAGAAGGCAGCTAGGATGCACCAGAGGTTGTATTTTCTAACAACTTGGTCCACATAAATGCTGGCATTAGTTACACGCTCACATTTAGTTGCTTTAATTTAGAAAAAGTGTGACAAGTAGATAAAATCTGGGTAAGTATATGGCTTAATAAAATCTATACATATTGGAGGGACGAAGGCAGTAGATTACTTCAAGTTTCACCTTGATATCAAAATAGTAAGCACTGTAATCACCTGAAATAAGATTTATTTCGAGTTGAAATTCTAGACACAGCTGAACTTCAACTTTGACTTCCAGTTCATTCTAAAGTGGAATAAACTTTTTGGAAGTATAGAAGCATGCACATGGGTGCAGGTGCCAACCTCAGGGAAAGAGTGGTTGCTGCCAGTTTTTGGACATTGGGGATTGCTTTTATTGCTCTTTGTTTTCCATTCTGAGGTAAATTGTTGAAAAAATGAGTAAGAGGTGAATGGTAATGGTTGCAAATTGCTTTTCAGTTAATTTTTTCTGGGAATTCTCATTGACTACTGTGATTTTTCAAGAAAAATGAATACTTGTTTCGGATGCTCAACTATTTAGTTGCTTGCAATTATTTGCCACGTACTAGTTACATATGTTGGAAATTTTGTAGAGGACAACCCCCTGATTATGTACTAAAAGAGGCCAAAAACACTAGCAAGTTCTTCAAGTTTGTTGGGACTGTCAACCATGGGGAGTCAATGAGCAGACAGAGTGCTTACCAAGCATTAACTGAAGAAGAGTGTGAAGCTGTAAGTGTTCATGTTATTCTTTTTGCAGTAAGATGAAACTTAGTAAGTAGACAAAAAAGGTACCAGCATAAGTGAGTTGTGCAAGATCTGATTTATTTTTGAACAGCCACATCTCTGACTTATTACTTTGCTGACTTTCATAACTTGTGTTTGCCACAATTGAAAAAGGTCATTACCTGGTGGTGGTTCCATAAATATAAGACTAGCTTGGATCCTAGCTTAAACCATAATTTGGTCATCTCATCAAGCAATGGATCATTATTGATTTTGTTTAAGAATGTACTGTATGTTGGGAACTTGGTTGTGGTGTAATTTTCCTCGTTTTATTGTTATATTTCTTGTTTTCCATCCAGAGGGAATTAAAAAAGCCGTCAATTGGAAAAGAGTATTTCAATCATATGAACCTTGAAGCGATTGTCACAAAATACCCTTACAGGAAGAACTTGCTTGAGGAAGATATTGTTAAAGGTTAGTTTCATGTTCTTCAAGAAAAACACAAGGCTTTATAAAAATGTTTGGTGAATGAATATATTGCTATCATCCTGCAAAGAACTTAATTGCTATCCTGAATACATTACAGAGAGTCAAATACGATTAGCGTTGATTGATTTCTTGAGGGGACTTGTTGAGTTCGACCCGGCAAAGCGATGGTCACCTTTGCAGGTTATTGAACTTTTCCCAGTAAAATTTGTTTATTTGTTTTTAACTGTCAAGTAAAAGGATAAAGCCCCTCTACATGCACAGACACTATACACAAAGATTACGTCCCTAAATAATAATAGAAAAAAGGAAAAGACAATCAGTAAAATTAAGCAAAGAATCATGGGTCCTATGTTTTTTTTTTAAATTTTAAATAATTTGTACACTATGGTTGACTGGTTGATAGAAGAACACTTATGTTCATATCATAGGGTTTATAAATGGGAATAGTGATGAAATAAATCTGGTTGTGACTTTTAGTGGATTAAAAGTGTGTAAAATTAAGGAGCGAGTAGTAGAAGAAAATTCTAGGTATCACTCCTGAAATTTGTTAGGCATTACACATATGGTTTGATTGCATCACAAAATATGAAAAGAGCAGAAGGTTCCCTCAAATATTTTTTTTATTAAATTGGAACAATTGTTTTGCTTCGTATCGACTCCCAAGACAATATGTACCTTAATTAACTACTTTGACTCCAAATTTGAAAACTGAATGACTTCGACTAGCAAAGTTATGTAAACCCAATTTGAAATCCACCAAAAGATATGTAATTACATAACTAGATAAAGTTTACGACCCATGGACAACTTCTACAACATATGGCTGCCAAAGCTAAAACTGTCAAAGTATCTTAGCTTTTAAAACATGGTAAAACTTATATAAAATCAAATAAACAACTAATTAACTTATGAAACTACAAAGGAAGACTCTAATTGAAGCTCCTAAATGGCCCCCGCATCATTTTGAGTTACGCAAATCAAGGTTTGGCCTTCGTAGTGTCTTTGTTGGGACTTTTATAAAGTGTTTTCACTTGGCTCCATCAGATTACCATCTTGTGAACCAAAAGATCAATTATCACTGGGAATTTCTTTTTGTCCTATTGCAAACTTCAAACTACTCCCTCCGTCCCAAAATAATAGTCCTTTTTGGGAAATCAACCTTTTTTGATAGTATAATTATTGTATTTTAAAAATATTAATTTTTCAAGATTATCCTTTGATAGTACATTTTTTTGAGGATATTAATTGTCATAATTGTACTTTTTATGTTATTAATGAATTTAAAAGAAGGGCGAAATAGTAAATTCATATTATTTTATTCCTTAATTTTTGAAAAGGGACTAATATTTTGGAACAATGAAAAATGGAATTAGGGACTAATATTTTGGGACGGAGGGAGTAGTTCTTTTTTTTGGGTAAATTACAAATACACCGCCTAAGGTTTGATTAAAATACAAATCGCCCCCTGTGGTTCTGGAAATTACATTCCATCCCCTGAGGTTTCTAATTTCATAACAAATCGCCCATTTTATTAATAAATCATCAAGTCAATTAACAGTTTTTAATGATATTATAAATATGTTTCAATTAATAATTTAGGTAATTTTATTATTGTATAGGAGAGCAATTATGAATTTCTTTTTTTTAGTTAATTCTGTTAAATAAATTTTTTTAATAAGGGGTTATTTGTAATTTTTCAAATTACAGGGGCAATCTGTACTTTAAGTAAACCTCAGGGGGTGTATTTGTAATTTACCCTTCTTTCTTTGTTGTTCTTTTTTATTTATTTTTTATTTTTTATTTTTTATTTTTTATTTTTTATTTTTTTGCCCTCTGTAACTTATCTTTAATAAACCGTTTGAAACTTCTTTAATCAAGAAATTGAATGCCTTCTGTGGATGGTGGATAGTGATGTGGCAAGTTGTAACCTTATGGGAAGGTGGAGGGCATGCCAATCCTTGAAGAGTCATGAGAGACAGGAGAGAACAGAATTAAGGTGACTAGTGAGGGAGGATGGTAGTATAGGAGATGGACCCTTGTCCAAAGAGCAGAGGAAGATGAGGGATGAGCTTGCCTCAACGTCTGCATTATAGTCATTTTATATGGGATAATGGACTGTTAGGAGGTCTGTTCACCCATGAACATGTGGCCGACACTCCTAGGTCTGATAGAATGTTGGTGTCACACCCCTTCTGCATCCTAAGATTCCTCCCTCAGGGGTCTGTATCATGGGTACTACACAAAGGTAGGTCTGTATCGATGGATGACATTGGTGGTAGGTATGATACTCCTTTCGAGGTATCATATGTTTGGATCAACGCCTCTCTCTCTCTCTCTGACTGGTCAGTCAAGATGTGACTACTCTTGAGGAGTGGGCAAGCCGGAAAACCTCGATGAACCCTTATCTCTAGCCTCCAAGCCACAATGCTCCAGCGATTCTAAGAGGTGAGTGTCTATCCCCTGCTCCCAACCTAAGAAGCTGAAGTTATAACAATGGTGATACTAATGATAAGTCATGTAAGAGTCCCTGCTAGAGGGTAGAAGGCATAAGAAACTCATGATTTGATGGAGTCTTTCTAGCCGAGTCAGGATGAGGTGCCAGGCCATGCCCCTACCAAGTAGGGGTAGCCATGCAGAGATACCTGGGTAATCTGGGTGGTATTCCTTCCTAGCTACGACTTGTAATACCTTAGGGGAACGAGGCATGGCGGGATCATGGTTTGGAGGAGCATTACTTTGCCACTCAAGGGAGTGCCTAGCCATGTCATTATTGTGCATGGGCAGAAATGTCTTGGCTTGGCGGAGCAACACTAGGGGCCACACCTCAATGTTTCCGATGCTTTGACTCATCCACTCAGTGCATTGGCATGCAACTAAAGCAAAGAGCGCATTATTGGGCCAAGTTACCATACTCAGTGGTCCTTGTGCCTCCTGCTTAGGCTAGACATATGACAATGATAGTCTATTTAGAAGATGTGACACCTCTAAGGGCTTGTCACTTGGAGGTCATATTCCTTAGATTGAGGATGATGTGGCGCTCCTGGGGCCTACCACGTAGCTGGGATCGCCCAGATATCAGACCTTTCAAGTTCCAACGTTGTATATATATCAGATGTTGAATATCTATTTTTTATAAGTAATAAGAAAACTGCATTAGATAAGGTGTGCCAAGGGGGCACCGCCTTATCCAACTAAGGGCAAAAAGACAACAATGAAAGAGCACAAATGCTAAATCTACCTGTGAACATCTGCCACCTCATTGCCCTTCTAAATAACATTTGCTACCGACCTTTGTTGCTCATCAAAAAAATATTTCTAGAGAGCATTCAAGTCTTTTTAATATCCAATCCTAGAGAAAGATGCCCCTCCCACATTTTCCTGGCCCTACAAGGCTCTGCTTTCATCTCTTATCAGTTGCCATTAACTGTTCTGCATCTGTGTCATAACCCCTAGAAAACAACCGAAACTTCTCATGTGCTGAATATCTTCGTACACTTTAGCTTGGAACCTTTGTTCCATGGATCAAGTTATTCTTTGGGAAACAACACTTGCATCTTCAATGGTGTAATACAATACCAAACTTCCATCAAACTTGTTTGAGATTGTCACACCCATGCTTCACCCATTGACTGTGATCTGACTATGTGTGGGCTTCATGTTGGACTTACCAAGAATGATGAAATCAAAGTGTTCCTTACATAGTGTGACAATTCAATGAAATAATTTCTCAAATAACAAAGAGAAGGTTTTGAAATTGCATGTGATAATTCTCCTTCTTGTAGATACTTCATATTCCATTTCTATGAAGTGGATTAAATGAGTATTTTTAGTAAGTTTTAATGAGATATTCAAACACCTGTTTTTTTGTTTGGCTAATTTAAGAATTTCATAGATAGACAAGGTGTGGGAGTAGATATAGCACTTATTTATTTCTAACAAGGGTAAAGACAATAATAGTACCAAGTATCATTTTCTTTGAAAAATGCATAAAAGTGCAAACTTGTCTTCTTGAATCAAAATGCTAATCATATATATATATATATATATTTTGATACATAGACAAATACTATTAAGAAAGCATCAAGATGATGCAATGGATACAAAACAGCATCCACAATGAGGGAAAAACCAAAAAAACACTAACCAATCACCTCATCTAAAAGATCTAAAAAAACAAACATATCCACATCAACCTTCCTCTCTAGCCAACTATACATAACTACAAGAAGACAATTCTCTAACCAAAGGGCACCATGATACATCTATCGAAAGGTTTCTATTCCGCTCCAACCAAACAAGCCACATCAAACATAACGGCACTAACACTTGCTGACGCCAACCCTAATGCTGACGCCCAATCCAAGCATCCCGCTAGGCCCAAAGCATATTCACACCACCCCTTTCGGTTGAACCCAAGCAATCCCACAGAGCGATCAATTAAAACCCCATAGCCGCAAAGCCATTGAACAATGAAGAAACTAATGATCCATCGACTCTGCATCAGCATAGCACATACAACGCTGATTCACTAAAACATGCCCACGCCACACCAAATTATCGAATGTGAGATTCCACCCCAAAGCTGCCATCCACATGAAGAAAGCCACTTTAGACGGAACACAAGACACCCAAACACTCTTCCAAGGAAAAACCCTATCACAATTCCCCACCAAGCCCCAATGTAATGATGAAACTGAGAAACGCCCTTTGCCCCCACCCCATTCCACACCATAACATCGAGTCCCACTCCAGTGATCCCCAACCCATATAAAAAGCCCCAGAGCTCCACTAACTAAGAAACCTCCCAATCTTGCACCTGTCGCCGCAATTGAATGTCCCAAACCGCCACACCCCCACCCCCCAAATAAGATGCTACCATAGCCTTGTGATTAACCACAATATTGAAGATCAACGGGAAATAGGTCTCCAATAAAACCTTACCACACCATCTATCCTTCCAGAATCTCACCCTTACCTCATCTCCCACCCCTAGGAAGCACGGATACAGATAGGGGATACGGATACGATACGATACGATACGGATACAGCGATACGACAAAATTTGAAAAACTAGGATACGGGTACGGCGGGGATACGTTCGTAAAAAATATTATTTTAATAATTTTTAGTAATGCATTATGCATAAAAATAAAACCTAAAGCAAAAGACAACTTGATAAA